AGGCGGGAGAAATACCTTATATACTCCCCCTTTTAAAGGCGATTGGGGTCTTAAGGGACCCAGTCGCCCAAATCCTGCTTGTGGAGAATCATCATCCACCATCTTTAAGTTCGGGCGCCACTATATAAACATTAGTTATTTTTGGAAGCAGCAGTCATGAAAAATGAGCAACGCCTTGCCGGGAATCGAGCCACGGACCTCTGGAATACGCGCCCATCGTGCAGACCACCACATCACGAAGGCGGGAGAAATACCTTATAAGCTTATTATTTGAAATGAGAAATACCGTCTACTACTTTTGAATTTACTCTTCTTTTCAAATGCTGCATGTAAACAAGCTGTGGATTGAAGATACGTTTTTGTGGGTTTTCGAAGAGAATTATGCTTATTCTATAATTGAAAAATGTTTCGAAATGCATGGTATTAACATTTTTAATTCAAAAAAAAAAAAAAAAAAAAAAAAAAAAAAAAAAACATTATTAATTGGAAAGGGAAAAACTGTCAGTCCTTACTTTTACATCGAAAGAAAACTCCAAACCAATACTCGAAAAAGCTATGTGTTGGTTCTAATATTTCTTAAGTTAAATCTTTGATAAGAGCAGAAAAATCCACCGACGCTGAAAATCCGTTCAAAGTCTTGTACCAACAATAAATAAAATAATAAACAAGATTTACAACTTAAAAAAACAAACTTTACAAAACTTTTCTTCTTTATGAAGAACTTGAAATGCACACGTACGATGGTATTATCATTTGAAGCCATTCATTCGAAGATTTTTCACGGGCTTTCGAACAGTTGCATACTGAAATGACATGCGATGGGGTACAATATCTATGTAAAGGGAAATTCTTGAAGGATTAAATAATTTTGTAAACAAGGTAGAATATATGTAATGCAGGTGCATACAAGAATGTTAGTATAGATTTCCGATAAAGGATGATCCAATTTGGGTAAGTACGCAGCTCCGAGCCAAATGAATTCACGGAATTAGGTATCAAATGTTTTCTCTTTCTCCAGTCATTTAAAGCTAGGATTTTGAAGGGAGCAGAGAAGATCTTATTTTTTTTTTATTTGCTTTAGTTGAAATACAGTTTATCTAATGTTTCTTTTAGTAGTAAATATATATGGCTTCTGCTAAACGAAACAAACACGTTGCGGCATTCAAATGCACATTTAGTTTTTGAAAGAAAATAGAAATCGTGTTGCAGCAGGGACGTTTGGTGTTCATGAAAGCTTCATACCTAAATGAAAGAAAAATAAAATCACAATAATTAATATGCCAAAGAATAAATGCGCTTTGCATAAAGAAGTAACAAAAGGGCCTATCCTAGAAGAAAGTTTCGAGAACTGGATCCAAGAAAATTACCAATGTGGATTAATTGTAACAAGAAACAGCCTACATTCATTTGCCTTAAAATCAAGTTTATTATACCAATGTTCAGCTTTCTTAGTAAGATGACTCATAAAACTTTTTTTTCTTTTTATTATCAATGATTTTATGTTTAAATTTATTTATTAAATATAACAATTTTCGCGCTTACACCACATGTAATTGACCACATTCTAGACACTTTTTTCAAGAAGCAAGCGCTTTTCGACGTTTGATTTAAAGAGTGGATTTTGGCCGATAAAGATGCACCCTGACGACCCAGAAAAGGGCAAAGTCTTCTACCAGGCAAAGTCTTTGGCAGTACAACTTGATGACGTTTAGATTATGTAATGCGCCGAAAATGTTCGAACTTCTAACGGAGATCATGTTGAGAATTCTTTCCTACGAAGACTGTCTGATATATTTAGGTCCTGCCAAACGTAAGTTCTTCAGAGAGGAATTGACTTACCTTGGACATTTCATCTCTGCCGAAGGTGTGTGTACAGATCCCGAAAATGTGTCAACAGTTAAAGACTGGACACTCCCCAAAAACGAGCATCAGTTGGGAAGTTTTCTGGGACGTTTCACCTACTAGAAGAGATTTGTGAGCTACTTTTCTTCCATCGCAAGATCTCTTGTCCATGTTGACAGAGAGCAAGCAGAAGTTCTTGTGGACAAAAGAATGTGAGGATGCATTTAACAACCTGAAGGAAACTTCTACATGCGCTTCCAATCCTGAAGTATCCTCAATTCGGCTAACCATTTATTTTTTATACGTATGCGAGTTTGGATGCTATTTTGTCCCAATAAATAAAAGGTCGAGAACGTGTTGTAACATCCTCGAGCAAGTGTCTATCTAAACTGAAAAGGAATTACTATATGATCAATACAGTTGAACATTTCCACCATTACCTTTTCTGCAGACGATTCCTGCTCCTTCAAATGATGCATCGTTGACTTGGTTATTAAATTTTAAGAATCCCTAAGACCAAATAGCCAGCTCGATACAGAGACTCCAGGAATATGACATAACTGTTCATCATTGAAAAGGATTGTCATGTGGAAACAACGATGCCCTGTCCAGAAGACCCTGCCAAGAAAGCTGCCGATATTCTTCTAAAGTCGAAGCAAAGTACGACCTGGTTATTCCGATCGCACGACAAATTACAACTACAGTATCGTCTGACATAGACTCAGAGAGTGATAAACACGTCAGGAATGACCAGTGGTAAGGCGGCGACATTGGAACCATAATTGGCTTATTGGAATCTTCAAATAGGAGTAATACTTGGCAATATATTCCGATCTATAGTCCTAAGAAAAAACAATATTGGGCTCTCTGGTACTCTCTGGGAAACGACTTTTTGTACTAGAAGTTGGAATCGAATGATCCTGAATCCCGGGCGTGCTTAAAGAACCACATAGTAGTCTAAATGGAGGCCACTTCGAAATAATGAAGATTTTACACAGAGTTTGAGAGCGCTTGTACTGGAGTATTGCAACGGCTGACATGCAATATTAGGGCGAAATTTTGTGATAACTGTGCGGGTCGGGAAGGACTGAAGAAACGCTGCCGAGGGAATCTGCAACGTTAGAATGCAGGAATGCCTTTTGAACACCACGCGTTCAACATCTTGGGACCTCGGCCTCGATATGTTAATGGCAACAAATACATCCTCATTGTCATTGATTACTTTAAAAAGTGGCTTGAGGGTTATGCTATCTCTGATTAAGAGATTGTCACAGTAGATAACGATACAGTATTGAATTTCCGGGTTCGGAGTGCCTCTTCAGTTGCATTCCGATCAAGGAAGAAAGTATACCTCGGTTGTAATTAAAGATCTCTACAATCTACTTGGCATAGACAAAATGACATAGACACCTTTAAATCTACTATTAGACGGCATGGTAGTGAGGTTTAATCGAACCACCTTAATAGCCTCTCGTTGACGGTTTATAGCAGTGCACCGCAACCTTTTCTCACCTGCGACGCACATAAAATCTTTCTGGAATTTCGTGGCACACCAAAGAGTTCCGAGTTATCAAGAAAGTGCCGAAAAAATTCAAATGCTGACACACTTACAATCACACACACAACCACACAACAGTGAAATATATAAAAACATTTAAAATAGACATTATTAAGGAAAAAAATTGTCATTGTGTATTAAATACATGATAAAAAATTTCAAAATGTCAAATACATGTATTTGATTGCGGCACACCTATATCCTACTCATGGCACACCGGTTGCGGAGCACTGGTTTATAGAAACCAACAGGATTGGGACTAGAAGTTTTCTGTTTTTATTGTATTAGTGTAGTGCTGTTAACAAGATTACCGGCTGTTTCCCATCGCAATTGGTCTTCGGTGCTAACCTTCTACTTTGTGATCTGTTATTTGGTCGCCCTCCGGACTAACTTTCATCGCCTGAGCAGTACATTCAAGATCTCAATTCACGGTTTGAAATGATTCACCGCGTTTCTCGAGAGCTGGTTGATTTGGCGACGGAGAAGATGAAGACTCGATACCACACGAGAGCTATAGAGCATCTATTTTACGAGGTGACAAGTTCGGATCCGTACGTCATCATAAGCCTAAAGTCGTCCATTACGACAGGCTAGACCCTTACTATAATCATAGTAAGTAGTCATAGTAAGTAGTCCGCATAATGAATATAATGCACATAAGACCATATTCTTATTTGTATATAAATTTATAAATTCATGCAATGAATTACTCATTTAGTTTCTGATTTATTCTATGTTATTTTTTGAAATTATTATTTTAGTATTGTATTCATTTTTCTTAGCTGTACGTATGGCTTTCTGTTAAGGGATTTTACTACCCGGGACATGCAGCCCTTGGAAAGGGAGCAATGTCACGAATTTGGTATAAATGTTCGTAATTTTAGTAAAACTGTAGTAGCTTTTGTATAAGGTAACATGAAAAATCCGAAGAGAACAAAGCTCTGCCGAAAAACTAAGGTTACAGGGCAAGCTATTTAACACTCTGAGGTAAATGATTATCTCGCCAGCTTTGCAAGATATTACTAAGCTAGCGATGGTGATGGTTTTTGTCTCCACATTTGGCGAGAAATCGACAAAAGTCGCTAAACTTGCTGATCATCTGGCGACATTTCGGTTTTTTTTCTGTATAACTAATTGATACTGTAACGAATGGCTGTAATTGATCCCTGTAACCGCGGCCAGTAATTTCGAGAAATAGAAAATACTAGAGGTTTCTACACTGGCAGGGTCTAACTATGTAAGCCAGGCGAAAACATCAGCTCTCAATGATTTTGTTCAGCTTTGAGTTTTTAGTTCAGAATTAGGTCTCCGTGGGAAGCTTCGCTGTTTAGATGCGCTTTGCATTACGTTCTGTTTAACATTCTTTGTAGTTTAAAGTGGTAACTACTGATCGTATTCTATCATACAGAGAAGAGTTTAACGAGTACTATTGTTGAAGGCTGTACAACTTTTGTGAAAAATAAAGTTTATCAAGCTATCATTGGTTTCGTGTGCATTCAATCTATAACGAACGCTTACGTATGCAATAATATCAATAGTGATTTGTTCAATAATACATAAGCAGCTGCGTTGAGGCAAAATAATTTATTGTACATAAAACAAAGCATAATTCACAAACACAGTGTTACTGCACATGAGTGTAGAACATAACACCTGTTTAAATTTCACCCTTTGAAACTGTAAAAGTAATTATTACAAATATAGAGAAGTTACGTTTTTTTACATTAACTGCTTGTGAAACTGAAAGCTTCAAGGACAATTATTTCTTTAATGATTTCCATATATATATGTTATTAGATGTCAAAATATTAATGAAATACATAAATAATTATGGCATAGTTTAAAATACGTGCGGAAGTTAGAAAGCTTGGATGTCCTGTAAGGTAAAGATCTTAACGTTGTTTACATTAACAATCCTGAAATTTCTTTTCTGTCGGAATTTGTAATTTTCCAGCACTTGTTACTCTGAGATTGAAGTCTAATTCTGTCAATAATAGTAGCCATTGAATGCAAAACTTGTAACTTGGTTAAAAGGTATTCGTAATGTATGAGAGAAGCTATCCTTATTGTGAGCTGAACTTACTAAGATCAGACTGCAATCTAAAACTCTTGTAAAAAGAAAGCATCCATTATTTTGAGAGAAGAATAAATCTTGAGATTTGTTGTTCTGTTATTACCTGGTTGTAATACCTTGGTTGTAAGCTGATCTTTCATTGTCACATTTTGCTAACAGCATACTACATTCTAAATTCTTGGAAAAATAAAGCTTCCATTATTTTAGAAAAAGAACAGGTTTGGAATTTTTTTTCTATTTTTATCCGAATTTACTTTTAAGCAAATGCTATTTAACTGAAATTTGTTAAAGATTTGTGATTATTTCTAAAATACATCTGTTTATTCTGAAAAGCAGAGTCACAAATTGCTTTTAATTATTCATTTTTATTCTAGAGATAGAAATTATCGAAAGTAGGTAATTGAAGAGTAAAAGACAAAAAGATCTTTCGTATGATACATCCAGAAGACACTAAATGCCTCTTTTAGAGTCAGTTTTCCTCGGAAAACCAATTAAAAAGTAAATATTCTGCTACATTTGAGCAGTTTCATAACGTATCTAGAATCGTAACATCATTCATTTCCACCTGAGAATTATACGTCGTTTAGTTCTACCTCAGAATCATAGAGTTATCGTGACTTATTGTTTTTCAGTCACTAATTCCAATTATTCTAATCATTTTATGCTATAGAAATTTAACCACATCATGTTCCAATTCCGATCTACTATGAGATTCATATTACTTTTAATAAAACATTCCACTAATACAGTCATTATTACAAGTCTTTTTTGCCATGGCAATATAATCAGTTATATTTTTATCTCACTATGGCCATATATTGTTTCTACAGCATCTGATTCAATAATCAGTGATGTATAGTTCAAATATTACCAGAGTTCGAACTCATATTCAATACTACGTATATGTGAATGATGAAGGTGGTGGTTGCCATGAACCTTGAGATCAGATGGCTTGTTGCTCTTTTTAATTCGATAGTTCTTAAAGCGGCTGTCACTGTGATGTAGATCGTCATAATCATCGCCCCTTTTATGTCTTGTAGCATCGGGGAGTCTGTAGCTTGGCATATGCTTAGTGTCCCAACCTGCTTCTTCATCTTCATATTCGTATTCTTCTTCTTCTTCGTCAGGCCATCCACCTGGAGGGCAGCCCATCATCATTGCAGGAGGAGAAGGCCATGCTTTCATCATCATTGCAGGAGCGGGCCATCCTCCATTCATCATACAACCTGTGTCAAAATATATAATTAAACTAACTGCCATATATTCATCTAGTCATACTTAAAAATTTGGATAATGTAGAAAAAAATAGAGTATTTTCGGAGTACGAGTTCGAAATAATAATTCAATCTAAAAGAGTTCGAACAAATAATTCAATCTAAAAACAATACTATAGATTAAATAAATAAAATATCTTAGTTTAATTTAATTAAATCCTAATGTGTGCTAATAAAATTTCTAAGTATCAGTGCCTGATTAGGAAATTTTTAGCCATTCTAGAATGTTTGTCTTGCTAAGGAGAACGTTCTCCATCCCCGTTGAACTTTCTCCATTCCATCACTGACAAACATGTCACAAATATCATCATCGTCAGTTCCGATGACAGTATTAATCAGTAAAATTGATAGATTTTAATTAAAATTAACTATTAATTTAATTATTTAAAGTATTAATTTTAATTAAAGGTGATAAATTTTAATTAGAATCACACTTCCTTTTTATCCGAGTGTCTTAACAATAGAAATGTACAATTGTAATTCTTACAGTAAAGACCAGAGAGCAATATAAGAGGCAAATACCTTGTGATTGATCATAAAAACTATTAATTCCTAAAATGCGCTTTTATTCTACATTGCTCTCAGTCCCTTTTTTTTAAAGGAGACTGATGGTGAATTCATCATTAGGTCATTTAATACGTCTAGCTAAGTTAGATGAACAATTAATCGCCCATTTGTAACATATTTTGCTGGGATTTATGCAATGACTTTAAATTTGGCTTATAATTGTATTTTTAGTTATGGTGGAAGTTTTGCAACAAAATCTTATCTTATTGATTCCTTACAATCGGTAAAACATGGTAACTGAAATCACAGAAAAAATGCGATTATTGGGCAAGGGTGCTTTCTTTTGACTAGTATCTAGCTTCAGTTGAGCTTTAAATGCTAAAATCACCTTGCATATTCTCTTCTATTTATAAAAAAGGATTAAGTTGATTAATTAATTAAATAAATACATAAAGCATCATTTTCTTCGTATTTACGCCATATACACTTCAACAGTAAATTGCCAAAATTTTTAAAAGCACCATAACAGTTATGTTTAGAATTGACGATGCAGTGCTAAGTGTTGACATACATTTTCTGTTTTTTTTTCTGTCTTTTATCAGTTTATCATATCAATGTTCAGTTTTCATTCTAAGATGGCTTTAAATAAATTTTTTGTCTTTTTATTATTAACGTTCTGTCTGTTTACTTTATTTATTAAACATGACGTTTTAAGCTGTTATGCTTCATTATATTTGATTCACCAACAAAATCACAAAATGTTTAAAAACAACATATCTTTAAAAACATACTTCATTGTATTTTGAAGTAAATTAGAGAGCTTGATGTTGGTAGATTTTATCGTCCTTCTCTGATTAATACAGAAATTTGTCCTTAGCTGAAAATTTCTGTAATTTTACTGCTGTATAGATTACTGTGTATTTGCTGGTGTAAATCGAAAATTTTTTGTAAATCCTATAATATTGAAGTCTGAGGGTCTATTTATAAACGGCTTCAAAATGACTGACAATTCGATTTCAAAAATGGTATAGATTAAATCAGTGGTCTTGAAACTTTGTCAACTCATGGAACCCTTATAACTATAAGTTTTCTTAGGGGAACCCCTTCTGCCCTTAGAAAAATATATCTTAAAATAATATTTAAAGTAGATCAGTATGTTATAGGTTACTTCACCTAAAGAGAATTAAAGAACAGTGTTATATTTTTGTTAAAAATTTTAATATTAAGTAAATGTAAGTTTTATATTAATAGCATTAACTCATGCCCCAGGTGTTACCCACTCTTGCATTTTATTTAGTGACTGGGGTGTGCTTGCATTTTTTACATAAGCTCTCGAAGTCTTGCTATGTTGATCTTGTCTGCAGCTGCATTTCATGTTCTGCATTTTATTTGTTTCTTTATGTTTTTGTTTCCACATTTGTTGAGAAAAATTTTTGAATTAAATACGTTGCTCCGAATGGCTTATATCTGCGTGAGAAGCTTCTAGGTATTCTGCATGCATCTGCAACCAAAAATTTAGGAGCTGTCAGTCCTTAAATTTAGATTTAATTTATAATTAATTAAATTAATTTTAGATTTTGGCCTTGAATCTCTTCAAAGGTCGATAATTGTTACTCATGAATCTTTGGCAAACCTTCTCATTTCAGTTAGTACTCAAACGGATTTTTTGCACATCACTCTGTTTGACATATGTCGTGCGTCGAATTGTTATTTTGAGTCACGGAGCCGCGGGATTAAGTTAAATCCTTCATGGATTTTATTACTCAGTGTAGGAAAATATCTATTGCATCCTACACATTGAGAAATGTTTCCCTTCAGCTGTACTGAAGGAACATAAATAGTTACTTCTCATTCAAAACTAACATTCCCAAAGAAAAGCTGTTGAATCTTGTTAAAGTTAATTATAACAAATTCAAAAGTTTCATATATGTTAGCAAACCTCATAAAATTTTACGTACCACTCATGGCAGCTTTAGCTGGCCATCCTCCATTCATTTGCATCATCATTTGCGGACAGCACATCATTTGGGGTGCTTTCATTTTAGGTGCTTTCATTTGGGGCATCATCATTTGAGGACAACACATCATTGCTGGCGCCGCTTTCTTTTTAGCACCTTTCATCATCTGCATCATCATCATTGCCCAAGGCATTCCTTTAGATTCAGCAGGCCATCTGATAGAGGAGAAAACGTAAAATATAGAATGGCAGAGGAAACATTTCTGCGACTGGAATAAAATGTTTTGCACATTTGATTGGATAAATGCAATAACAATAAAGCTTCCGAGACTTTCTCTGCCAATTTTTTCCCACCTGATGCATATATTCTCCAGTTTATAACTATAAATAATAACTTATTCTTCAGTTTATAATTATAAATAATAACAAAATTATTATTTATAATTATATACTGACTACACAATAAGTATTTGGACGCCTGTGATAGAAAAGAAAAACTAACTTTATTCAAAATCAATAGTTGGTAGAGCCTTTACGAGAGGTAATTACTGCTTGGACCCTCCGGGGTATACTTTCCACAAGTCTTTGTATGGTATTTTCTTCCACTCGGCTTGAAGAAGACATAGAAGTTCCTTCGCCGATTTTGCCGAGGGTTCAGGTCTGGACTCTGGGCAGGCTAGTCCATTCGATGAGTTCCATTGGCACCATACCAAGCCTTGGTTAACGTCGAAACATGACAACTGGCATTGTCGTCCTGAAAGTAACAGGGCTCCAACCCTTAAAACTGCCACAACGTAGGAAGCCCATTGTCATCCAAAATAGTGCAGTAGGCATCGGAGTTGAGTTTACCATGAATAGGGACCAAGGGTCCCAGCCCATACCAGGATAAACACCCCCAGACCATAATTCCACCTCCTCCGAACTTGACTATTGGCACAATGCATTCTGGCAGGAGACGTTCTCCAGGTAGACGCCAGATCCAGACCTTGCCATCCGAACGGTAAAGGGTGAACCTTGATTCGTCACTCCAAAGAACCCCGTTTCCACTGATCTACGGTCCAATTTCGATGTTCTTTGCACCACATTAACCGAGCAGCGCGGTTGGACTTTGTGACCAAAGGCTTATGGTCAGCAGCACGACCATGAAAACCAAGCAGAAGTGCTTCCTTACGGATAGTGTTCATTGAAACAATACTCCCGGATGCCTGTTGAAACTCCTCGCGGATGAGGGCCATCGGTTGGGTGCGGTTCTTCCAAATTTCTCTGGACCGACGGTCTCTATCTCCCAGTTTCGTTCGTCTGCCGACTCGAGGCACATTACGACAATCACCGCTCACCTTCCACTTCTTAATCACATAGGCCACTGTCGATTTTGGGTACTTCAGATCGCTAGATATGTCCCTTAAGGATCGGACACATTTGTGATACCCGATAATTTATACCTTTCTCGAAATCAGAGAGCTCCGAACTGCGAGGCATCTTGCATGCGACTAAAGCCGATGCTGTTTCCTACACGATATATACCGGCGGAGTCCGTGACGTATGTTAGGACCGCAGAGATCGTCATTTGCATAGGTGTCCAAATACTTATTGGTAGTAAGTGTAAACTGAAGAAAAAGTTATGCCTTATGAATTTTGTGTGGCAAGGTTTATTTTAAGAACATGTTATTTGTGTTAAATCTTTCCCAATTTCTACAATTCGGTTTGCTCCACCAGATTATGTAAATGATGGGAATTTTAAATAGGAAGCAAGATTCTAAGTTTAGGGAATAGAAGTGCCTTCTGTAGAGAGTGTCCTCTGTTACTGTCTGCCTTGAACTTTTTAATCATTTATTTATTTATTTTTCCAATGATGGATCGTAGTCGTTTATAGGCTTTGACCATTACTAAGGCCGGAAGCGGTGATATTTTTAATAAGGGAGACACCTACTAAGTGAGCCACTGTTTCCTCCTATGAAGGGAAGGGAAACTGCATCTATACTGTCTCCGGTATGGATGCAATTTTTCTCCTACCGTGCGTTTCGAACCCGGACCCTTCGGTACGGCAATCAGAGTCACTAACCATCTTCCCGTCTGGGCGGCACCTTTATTTTTACGAGTTGTCTTTGACTGAAAGCTAAATTAATAATCGTGTAGTAGCGACCAACCTTAAGAAATGATGGAGATAATTTGCTAATTGATAACTGTAGCTTCAGGATGAGATTAAAATAAATGCCATTAATCGTTTATATTGTTGTATTTACTTAGTTTTTTGGTATTGAAAGTTGAAGACGAGTCTAGACGTCGTCCGCGAGAGTTTAAGAAGTTTAGAGTTTAGTTTAAAACCACACTGGATTTAATTTCATAATATAAATTCTTACTGCATTTCGTACACAAAGAATTATAAATTTTATGCGAACAGATCAATCATGTAGTAACTTTCGTCCGAAGATATGAAAATATACGAAGTGTGTCATTTCAAAGAAATTGAAATAAACTTTTTGAGGAAATCAAAATTCTTATAAATTCAATTATGAAGATGAAAATATATAATTTTAAATCAGGATTTCACTTCATATATATCACATACGACCAAGTGAATTTATGGAAATCATTTCTATTTGATAAAAAGAAAAAAAAATCTTTTGAATTCATAGCTTAGCTCCATGCATAGCTCCATGCAAAAGTAACGCACAATCAACTGTAGCTCCGTAATGGAGAAATAGAACTACAAAAAGTGAAATTTTGCAAATAGAAAGAATGGTTCTTTTGTCCAGTAATCTCAAGCTCAAATTGCCTGCGAGCCGAATGTACAGTCTGAAAACAGATGACTGACCAATTTTTACTTCCTTGTATGAATTTATAAGGTATATCTCCCACTTTCTAGCGTACCTTCCTGGTGTAGTGGTTCTGCATGCTGGGCCGGTATTCCAGAGGTCCGTGGTTCGATTCCCGGCGAAGGCGGTTGCTAATTTTTCATCTTGCCTGCTTCCAAAAAATTCCTAATGTCTCTACAGTGGCGCCCGAACTAAAAGGGTTGTGGATAATGACTCTCCACTCCCAGGATTTGGCGATTGGGTCCCCTAAAACCCCAGTGGCCCTTTAAAAAGGGAAAAGTATATTAGGTATTTCTCTCACTTTCCTAGCGTGCCTTCGTGGTGTAGTGGTTCTGCACGCTGGGCCGGTATTCCAGAGGTCCGGGGTTCGATTGCCGGCAAAGGCGGTTGCTAATTTTTCAACTTGCCTGCTTAAAAAAAAAAAAAAAAAAAAAAAAAAAAAAAAAAAAAAAAAAAAAATCCTAATGTCTCTACAAAATAACCTAAAAAAAAAAAAAACGATTAGAACGAGCATTTTTTGTTTTAAAAGTGGTTGGATTATGTTGTTTTTATGTTCCGATCAAGGTTTTATGTCCTTTTGTTAATCTGCATGTAATAATTGTAGACAATTATCGACAATTTAAAAGCGGTGCTAAGCGTAACCGAAACAGCCATTTGTTTGCAACTTTTAGTAGAATAGTGAACTACGCTAATTGGTGCACTAACATCAGTGTTATTCTGCCCATTAAGGCGGAAAATTAACTTTCAACTTTGTGCACCAAATATTTGGTCTTCCTGCTCGTTGACCGAATTGCTTGGTTTGGCGTACAAACTCTAAATTAAAGTTTGAAAATTGTTTTTTTTTTTAAACCACTTTTAACTGTATTCGGTGTTTTACGTTTTCCTGAATTTTACAATTTTTTATGAAGATGTTTTGAGTTCATGTATTTTGCCGCGAAGTGAGAAATGATTTGTTTAAATGAGAAATATATCTCTATTGAAATTCGTGGAGATAAGTTTAAATGAAGTGCAGTAACAAATGTATATAATTTAAAAGGCCCTACAAGGAAATCATATGGTGTCTACATTAGATTTTTTAACAAGATGAAATAGTCTGTTGATGAAATAAAAATAGTTTAAATGAATTTCAAATTTCGCTTACTAAATATTTTTACAAAACAAATGTGAACGATAATAGTAATATCTTAAAGAAAAAAATTCAAATTTATGCTGTTTACACTTTGTAACTCAAATATATTGATAGTTAAATTTTAAATTATCAGACTGGCATTTATTTCATATGACTATAATACACTGAATTAACAGCTACTTACTACATCCTAATTAAGCAAATTACAATTTTTAAGTGAGACAAATCTTGATAACAATTAATGACAACCTATTCTTTCTCTTTGATTTATTAAATTTTTCTTCGACACATACATAAAGTAATTGTATGTAAATAAACTTCCTTTTTTCACATTGCAACTTTCAGCTATAACATCCGAAAGGTTTCGCTTTGATAAGATTTGTAACTCCTAAGAAAAATTATTAGGAACAAACTTTATCACGAACTGTAGATAGTAATCGGTCAATCTAGATCTTTTCTTAGACTTATTAATTTTCAACTGCGAAACAAAATTATTCACATATAAATGCACTCCCAAACAAATCAATGATTCTTATTCCAAAATTTTATAACTGAGATTATTAATCTTTTGAAAGGTACGGATAAATGTTAATGAAATCTAAATCTTCGAAGCTTTGAATATATTTAATTAATTAGCTCCACTTGTAGATATTCTGGCGCACTTTTTGTGTTCATTTTCAATGGTGTTTAAAATATGTAAACTCTGACATCAGATATTCAAAATCCTGAAATCTTTGCAAGAAATACATAATTTAAATGTATTCACAGGCAGCATGAAATCGCTCTACATGCCGCTATTTTGAGACCACCGCTTTAGTCAATAAAGTTTGGTATTTTTTGGCAGCGTAAACTTAGTGCAAACTCCATGCAGACGTACAGCGAATTATCGCTGTGCCTGAAAAGAACTGCAGAGTCTTAAGAAAATTTAACAACATTTTAATTAAATCAGAACCTGACCATGAATATACATTTGTGCTTGACAAAATCAACCAACCACTTATGATGATGTAATTTAAAATAACAGTTTCACATTTAAAACTAACTCCTAAGTAACTAAATGCTACACAAGTGATTTAACGGGAAGTTGTTACAAATTTCCCACTGGCGTAACAATTTAAATTTCGGAAACTACAGTGTAAAGGCGAAGACCACAGTCTTATCTCAGCTAGCAGAAATCTAGTAACGTGGTCTCGAAAGACGGAAATACGATCTGTCTTACAATCCAAAAGCCTAAACTTAAATGCTCTTAA